TGTTCAGCATCTTAGCTGTAGAGGGCAGTGTCACTGGCCCTCATATGTGGGATCCGAACCAGGGTCCTCTGGCGTCCCAAGCCAGTTCTTAACCAGCGTGCCACTCGGCCGGCCCTGCAAGCAGTTCTTTATCTCTGCTTTCCCTAATCTCTCCCTGCCACTTCTGTTGAAAGTTGTTTATTTTTGTGGTTCTTTTTGGTAAGTGTGTCAGTGATGGTATAGCTATTGTAGTGAGGTTATTTAATGCTAGCTAACACCACATTCTTTCAATAATGCTCTAGGCTCTGTGCTAAATGTTTTACATGCATTATTTAAATTTTTATATGTGTCTTCTTCGTAAAGTAAATTCATGGATGACAGAACCTTAGTCCCTGGCATAGTTGGTATATGACTGAAACTGCCTTCCCCATGTGGAGGCCGTTATGTAACCTTGTGTGAACAGATGGTATTGAGTATAGAACTACTCTGTATAACTTAATGTCTCTAATTTTTCCCTGGTTTATGTTGGAGACATGAATATGCACTGATTATTTGGTTTAAATGGTTCCTAATCTTATGAAAACATTTCAAAGCAGGCATATCCTTTACCAAGAGACTCCTGACAAACAAATTACAACTGGTTTTGCTTGGTTACAAAAGTGATGTTAGCCTAGGAAATTTACATGTGAAATATTAGTTAACCACATAGGGAAAAGGGGTTTTTCCTGCAGTTCGGTGATTAAGTGCACAACGACTAACTCATAGGCAGGTTAAACTTTTACTCATCCTTCCATAGAACATTTTTTTGAATGCCTACTATATGAAATGCTCTGTGTTTGGTGGAATGGTTAATGAAGATGTAAGAGATGTATTTTATGCCTTGAGAGTGAGATTACAGTGAGAAGTCTGAGTAATGCAGACTTCTAAATATTGACATATTTTAATATACAATTTAAAAAAATCACATTAAAAATAAAAAACCTACTAAAGAGAGTAACGTCAGGGAAAATGGCAGAGTAAAATGGAATCTGTGTCTCCTCTTAGACAATAATTGTACTGGCAGAAACTGTGAGCACTGACTATTTTGGAACTGTAGAGTTTATTTTAACATTTAAAGCTCTCAGGCGAAAGCTTTCCTGGTAATTTTGGTTAATATTGGTCAGTGTAAGCCTTTGGTGTGGTAGCGGCTACCCATCTTCCACCCCCCAGCCCTGTGACAGGCAATTAGGAGGTTGAGAACCCACATTTCTGGTGTGAATTTCTGGAGCCAAGATGGGCAATAAAGACCTTGTCCTGGGCCGGCCGAGTGGAGCATAGGTTAAGAGCTGGCTTGGGATGCCAGAGGGCCCTGGTTTGGATCCCACATATGAGGGCCAGTGACACTGCCCTCTACAGCTGAGATGCTGAACAACAGCTCAACCTGGAGCTGGGCTGCCGTGAGTCGCCGGAGACGGCGTAGGCTGCAGTGGATTGCCACGGGCTGCCCTGTGTAGCGAGCAGCCGACATGAGCGGCCAGCAGCCGCAGTGAGCGGCCGTTCAGAAGCTGGTGACTGATCTGTCTCGCCTGGGAAGAGCGCAGTGATAGTGCTAACTTGGGCCAGTGAAGCAACGTCCTCCACAACTAGACTGAAGAACAAAAGGACAGCAACTTGTCTGTTCCCCTTCCCCAAATTCCCCAGTGCTGTTCCCATCCCCCAATTCCCCAATAAAAACCTTTATAAAAAAAAAAACAAAAAACCTTGTCCTCCAGATATTGGAGTTCTGTGGTGTTCTGGCTGCTAAATGCCTCTGATCAGCAAGGTGCAGACACACAGAGCCTGGTGGCCATTGTTTCATTCCTCACTGTCTGAATGTCCTATTTTTTTGTTTGTTTTTGGACATTCAAAAACAACTGCTTATAGAGGGAAACTTAGAAAACTACCGTGCCTGCCCAAGGAAATATTCAGGTTCAGAAATGACCTAAGGAGACTGTAAGCTTTTACCCTTAGCTTACCCCCAGCTTAGAAACACCGTACAGCAATAAAACAAAACAAAAAAAAACCCAAAACAGCAAGCCCTGGGGAAGAGGGAGAATCTAATTTCCAGAGTTTCTACATTATAAGAATCATATATATTTTACCACACACACAGACTTGCACACACAAACTCCTAAAAAAGATCACCACTGATTTCATTTTAAAAAAACTTTAGGTATTAGTGGGAAATACAAGGTTTCCGAAATTCTGATTTTTGCCTGAAAGCTCCAATTTTCCCTTGACGTTACAGACTTATTTTGTTCATTTTCAAGGAAATGTCTAACACAAAACGAAGTCTGAATAACCATAATTTATTGGTTGTTGTTCTTATTAAAAATGGTATTCCTTCAAAAAATCAGTTAGTTCAACTCACAACTTTATCGCACAAGCCCTTTACTTAAGACAACTGCTTAATTCGAGTGCTATAACAAATAGCCCTAGACTGGGTAGCTTAAACCACATTTTTGCTCACAGTTCCAAGATCAAGGTGCCAGCAGATCCAGTGTCTGGTGAGGGCACACCTCCAAGTTTGCAGATGACTGTCTTGTTATATTTTCACATGGTGGAGAACAGAGAGAGGATGCAAGCTTTCTCACGTCTCCTTGTAAGACGGGCACTTAAGGTGCTCAAGAGAGCTCTACCCTCATGATTTGCTTACTTCCTAGTACCATTACATTGTAGGTCAGGAATTCAACATTCAGTCTAGAAAAACAGCCATTGACTTTGATATGCCACAAAAGTGTTTTATGCTTCTCTTCCATTGTTTTTCTAACTGTGATAAAAAACACATAACATAAAATTTACTATCTTATCACTTTTAGTGTACACTTCAGTAGTGTTAAGTGTATTCACATTGTTGTGAAATCTTTAGAAGCTGCTCATTTTGCAAAACTAAAGCTTCTGTCCCATTTTGTCATACACAATAGGATATGTACTCAAGGGGTTGAGATTTCATTAATTTTTTTGCTTCATCAAGGACATATGTTGAAACTGGCATTTAAAAAAATGGCAAGTGCACAGTAGTGAATAATACAATCACCAGTAAGTAAAGTTTGGTGCCTCTGTGTCAATTTGCATCAGCAGTTTTATACACCATTGTTTTAGTATTCTCAGGACCAATTTTAACATTGTGAAAGGGCAAGCAATATCTTAGTATTATTTCAAAATAGTTTTGGCCTTGCAGACTTTCTGAAAGGTTCTTGAGAACCGTTTCAAGCATCCACAGATCACACATTGAGTACCACCAGTTTAAATCAATGTCTTAGGAAGATCACTTTGGTGGCAAGATAGAGGAGGGAGATGGAAAAACAGGGAGAGGAGTTAGTTCAAGTGAAAGAAGAGGAAAGCCTAAATTTGAATAATGGAGTGAAAATGAAAAGGAAGAGACAGGCTTATGAAAATTTCAGAAGTGGAATTGATTTACAGAATTGCAGGTATCTCTTTGGGATAATTATTGCCTTTGTGCCAGATTTTATTCCTTATTTCCATGTATTCAGTTTACATCATTAACCAATTACTTATGAAGATTGAAAATTGCTCCAGTACCATAAGAAAAAAATGAACTGATCTAAAATAAACACATAATGGATCTGGAAAAGGAATAAACTAGCTATTCAGTTATCTGCTTCTATTTATTGTTTTAGTTTGGGAATTTGTGACCATATTCTTTGTTAACTTTTGAATTTACCTGCATGTTGTAGACCTGAATGTCATTAGCTTAGGAGAGTTTGGGGGACTAATGTCTTTTCCACGTCCCAGACTTTCAATAATGGACAAATAGTACAAATTGGTTTGAACACTTGGTTCTTGATATTTCAGTCTGAAGCCTTTTTTTCACCCATCCTCAAACAGCAGTTCAAATGCCTCACCGTCAGAAAATGCACAAGTAGGAAGTTCTGGATGTACTCCTCAGTCCTTCCCAAAGTTCCAGCACCCTTCTCATGAACTTTTGAAGGAAAATGGCTTCACCCAACACGTGTATCACAAGTATCGTCGAAGATCCCTAAGTGGTAAGATGCTTGTCCTTCACATAGCTATACAGACCATTAAAGTATAATTCTGAAACAGTTCAAATTGTGACATTTAATAATCAGGTTAAGATAGTCTCTTATTTGTTACACTTATAATTACCTCAAGTAAATGTGTTTGTATATATTCTTTACTCATGTATTTTATAGCTTAGACACATTAGGAAATAAAGTTTAGTATTTCTACTAATAGTGTTACTGTTGACAAATGCTTAAATTTGGACAGTGAGTCAGAAAATGGATTATTAGTATGTGTCCTTTATTTAGAAGAAACCCAAATACATTTTGAGGATTAATATGTTTCAGCTTTAAGTTATATAAAACATCTGCTGTTTTGACTTTGATAAATACCTTTAGTAAAACATGTTGTATTGTTTTAACTTTTTCCAGAGAGAAAACGCTTGGGAATTGGCCAGTCCCAAGAAATGAATACCCTCTTTCGTTTCTGGTCCTTTTTCCTCAGAGATCACTTCAATAAAAGAATGTATGAGGAATTTAGACAACTTGCTTGGGAAGATGCAAAAGAAAACTACAGGTCAAATATTTTCTCATGTTTTTACACTGGAGGGAATATTTTATTTTTATTTTTTATTTTTCAATTACAGTTGACATTCAGTGTTATTTTATATTAGCTTCAGGTGTACAGTATATTGGTTAGACATTTATATAATTTATGAAGTGATCCCCCAATTAGTCTAGTACCTACCAGGTACCATACATAGTTAATACAGTATTACTGACTATATTTCCTATGCTGTATTTTACATTCCCGTGACTATTTTGTAACAACCAATTTTGTACTTCTTAATCCCTTCATGTTTTTTACCCTGCACTCCTCCCATCTAGTAACCATTAGTTTGTTCTCTGTATCTGTCTGTTTCTGTTCTTTTTGGAGTTGTTTTGTTAATTTTATTCTTTAGATTTCACATGTAAGTGAGATCATATGGTATTTATCCTTCTCAGTCTGACTTATTTCACTTAGGGTAATACCCTCTAGGTTTATCCATGTCACAAATGGTAAGATTTCAATCTTTTTTATGGCTGAATAACTTTCCATTATACATGCGTACCACATCTTCTTTATCTAGTCGTCTATTGATAGGCATTTAGGTTGCTTCCATATCTTGGCTATAGTAAATAATGCAGTGAACATAGGGGTGCAGATATCTTTTCAAATTAGTGTTTTTTATTTCTTTGGATAAATACAAGTGGAATTGCAGGGTCATAAAGTAGTTCTATTTTTATTTATTTATTTTTTTTAAGATTTTTGGGGAATTGGGGGTATGGGAACAGCGCTGGGGAATTGGGGAAGGGAAACAGACAAGTTGCTGTCGTTTTGTTCTTCAGTCTAGTTGTGGAGAACGTTGCTTCACTGGCCCAAGTTGGCACCATCATTGCGCTCTTCCTGGGCGAGACAGATCAGTCGCCGGCTTCTGGACAGCCGCTCACTGCGGTTGCTGGCTGCTCACGCTGGCTGCTGGCTACATACGGTAGCCCATGGCAACCCACTGCCACAGGGGCTGCAGCCTACGCCGTCGCCAGCGACTCACAGCAGCCCANAGCCCAGCTCCAGGTTGAGCTGTTGTTCAGCATCTTAGCTGTAGAGGGCAGTGTCACTGGCCCTCATATGTGGGATCCGAACCAGTGCCCTCTGGCATCCCAAGCGAGTTCTTAACCATCGCGCCACTCGGCCGGCCCAACAACTTTTTATTTTGCAGATTTTACTGATGAATTAACTCAGAAGCTGTTTATTGTTTCAGAAACATCTTCAGCAACAATGGCCTGTTCATTGCCAACAGCAGTTCCAGAATCTCCTAGAATTTATCCTGCGAGGACACCCAAAACACCTCGAACACCCAGGTTACACGATCCAAACAAAACACCAAGATTTTATCCCGTTGTTAAAGAACCAAAAGCCATTGATGTTAAGGTACACAGAACAACCAGGAATATAAAGCCTGCGTTTTGTACCCTTTAACATTACAAAATGAGACTTTTTAGTTTCTGTCGCATTAAAAAAGGTAAATTTTAGATTGTAAGAATTATTTTAAAATGGTATTTTACCATAGTGATGATTTCTCAGGTTAAGGAATAACTTCTTTATAATTGGCTAGTGTATTAAAGATGATCAGGAGGAGGTGTAATGAAGAATTATAGTAAGTTGTATTTCCTTTAATCCTTGTGTTGAAACGTAGCCAAGGGCCTTGTTTGTAAGTTTTGTAGCTTACATGTGATATGTTTGAGTTTTATGACTTCATATGATTTCATAATGTGTCATCCACAGTATGAAAATATGTGAGTTGGTTTACAGTCAGAGGGTTTTAATTTACTTGTGAAGTTCACACTACTGGAAGTGATTGCAATGTTTGACTTCTTCTGTTTTAGAGTCCAAGAAAGAGAAAAACAAGACATAGTACAAATCCCCCTGTAGAGTGTCATGTAGGCTGGGTAATGGATTCCAGAGATCACAGGCCAAGAACTTCCTCTGTCAGGTACTGTACTTGGAAAACATTGCTTTGTTCTTGATTTTAAGTTTGTTGAAAACAGTTACTAATTAGATATTTGGAAATATTTAAAATTAATATGTTAGCAAATTATAGAACAATGAAAAGAGTAAAAAGGAACCAAAGGAGGGGAAATCAGTGCTCTTGGATGATCTGATCTTTTTTCCTCCTCTTTTTCTGATAATTTTGATTGACCTATAGCAAAATTGACTGATTCTTTACTCATCTATGTCCAGCCTGCTGATAAGCCAATTAAAGGAGTTCTTCATTTCTGATATTTTGTCATCTGTAATTTTTTCGCTAACCTCTAATTGACTTCCTCATGTGAGGGATGCTCCTGAGCCTATCTGTACCCCATATTCCTCAGCAGATGACTTTAACTTGTATTGCACTGCAAGCAATTCTTTTTTTTTTTTTTTAAGATTTTTTTAATTTTTATTGGGGGAATTGGAGGAATGGGAATAGTGCTGGGGAATTGGGGGAAGGGGAACAGACAAGTTGCTGTCGTCTTGTTCTTCAGTCTAGTTGTGGAGGACGTTGCTTCACTGGCTCAAGTTGGCACCATCATTGCGCTCTTCTCTGGCAAGGCAGATCAGTCGCC